TGGTGTAGGCATTATACTTTATTTTCAGACAACAAAGAACTGTCTATTGCATTGGCCGGGAATCGGACCCGGGTCTCCCACGTGGCAGGTGAGAATTCTACCACTGAACCACCAATGCTGAATTATAAAGCCAAACCACCATACGGCAGTTGAGGCGAAAAGTTCAGCCAACAAAGACTGTTTTTCAAGCAACCACGCCTCTATATTTCATTATAAGATCTATATCCGTAAAGACATTCTAGTGTTCCTCCCTTAAATGGATTTGATGTTTAGCATCAAACTAGTGTTTTCTAATGCCGCGGAGTCAGCACGTATAACATGCCACACAACTCAAGCGTATTACTAAAGAGATAGGTTCCAATCGGGGGCACAAAGTGCAGCACAAAGTGCAGCACAGCAGCAGGGGTCTTTTTTGGACTCAATGCCAAAGAAGCCACAGGTGAGAGCCACGAACCATGCTAGCGCAGCTGGGGGAAAGGGTGTGGCCTGGGATGTGGAAGTGCCAAGTGAGGGTCACCGCGAGGGCTTGGACTGGGACAACTATGGTGGTGTCTGTTCTCGAGGACAGCCTCCACAATTACTCTGGTTTCTCTTCAAAGCGTATAAGTCTTTCGCCTTTTACTAAAGACTTCCGTGGAGAGGAACACCTACGAGTTCAACCTGTTTTTGGTAGGCTTGGCCATTTGGCTGAGCATTCTGAGTTTGACAAAGACAAGAGCAGTCATTAGCACCTGGGCGATCCAAGCTACCCAGCGCCTCGGTTACGCCAGGTCAAAAGAGCCGCACCAAGACCTGCGGCGACTGCGCAACGAGTCCGTCTCCCGCAGCAAACGTTAAGGGTCATCGCTTCTCGGCCTTTTGGCTAAGATCAAGTGTAGTATCTGTTCTTATCAGTTTAATATCTGATACGTCCCCTATACGGGGACTATATATTAAATGGATTTTTAGCACTGGGAGCTGAAAGAGGGGCTTGCCCCGTTCACTCCACGCATCGACCCGGTATTGCAGCGCCTCCGGGAACGGTGCACCCATCTCCTGCCTTGTGGAAAAACAAACAAAGACGCATCTCGAAACCAAAACAGATGGATTCAATTGAGGGCAGAAACTGCAGCACATCAGCAGCGGATCTTTTTTGGACTCAATGCCAAAGGTGACAAATTGAACTTGCCTTGGCTCTGGAGCGTGGCACGCAGCGTGAGGCTCACTGCAAGGGACAGAGATATGTCGAGCCCAAAGGAAGGACACGCTCTGGGGAGGACATTGGCACCAGAAAGTCTTTCCTGGAGCAAAGAAGCCGCCACACATGCAAGCTGTAGCCAGGTTGTCTTTGACCTTTTCTTCAACACTATAATCAGGGGAGAGCGCGAACGCAGTCCCCCACTACCACAAATTATGCAGTCGAGATTCCCACATTTGCGGAATTCACAGCGGTCAGCATAGCCGGGGTGCAATGGCCGAGCCTCGCCCTGGGTGAACCAATTTTTTTTCAATTTTTAGACGCTTTATTGTTTTAAGGCACATAAATTACAAAGATAAACTTGCATGTACATATTTTCTGTTTTAAAAAAAACAACACAATTATAATCCTATTACTTCAAAAATACATTTTTCTTTTTCCAACAACAATTCATTTAAAAATTCATCAAAAATGTTTAGTCTTTTTCAACAACAGTACAGTTAAAGTGCCTCAATATCTTTAGATATTTTTTTATATTTAATCTTTTTTTTTTTTTTTTTTCTTTTTTCCCCAACAACAATTCATTTAAAGTGCATCAAATCTTCAGTTTTCCCAACAACTAAACATTTAAAGTGCATCCATCAGTTCTTTTGTTAAAAATATGGCATCAATTTTCCAGATGATTTTAATTTCGGCCTCCTTACACTTCACTCTGTCCCTGAGAATGTAGTCATGGACCATTGTGAGGCCAACCTTTACCACTGACTGTGTGGACATCTGGCATTTCTTAAAGGCGGTTAAGTTCCTACACCTCCAAATTCCTTCTTTCAAGCAATTAATTACAGCCCACCACCGTTGATGTCTTTCAGGATCCTTGGGTTCTAAATCACCATAAAGTACATCTTGCTCATTGGGTCCCCTATAAAGAGCAGTTAACCATGGCCTTAGTGTCCCCCACACCCTTTTCGCACATGAACAATACCAAAAAAGATGAGCCACATTTTCCTCGGAGCTACAACTTAGAATGGGGCATTTTGCACTCTTTGAGCATCTTCTCCTGTACAGGAACGCTTTTGTTGGGAGACAACTATGTGCTGTTTTCCATGCCAAATCCTTATGGGCGTTAAAGAGGAATGGTGAGTTTACATTTTTCCATATTTGCAGGCATTTCTGTTCTGGTAATATCCCTATTGGTGTTAGGCTTGAGGTCAGAGGTGAGAGGCTTTTTTCAACACAACTTCTGTTCACCACGCCTACAGATGATTTGTCTAAGGCGGCTCTCTTAAAGAGGGTCACAGCTCTGCCATACAATGGTGGCCTAGTCTCTGCATGGGGGATGTTCAGAGGGGCTCTTTTGCCTGTACCAGAAATAAACTTCCGGCCCACCCACAGTTTTGCAAAGTGTGTCCAGAGGCTATTGTTCTTTTCAGATAACACAGCATTTAGAATTGGTGTTAAAAATAGGGCTTCCAGTTTGACCCCCAGCTCTGGGACTGCTCTCCCTCCTTTTTCTAATGGTTTATACATGATCTCTCTTTTCAAGTATTCCTGGTGCGAACCCCAGATAAATTGGAAAATTGATCTTCTCAAGGTTGTTTGAAAGGCTCTTGGTACAGGCAGGGTGGCTGCTAGATGAGTCAGTGATGCAAGGATCTCCGCCTTAATGACAAGGATTTTTCCAGTAAAAGTAAGTGCCCTATCTTCCCACCTAAGGAGTTTCCCTTTAATTGCTGGGAGTCTGCTATTCCAATTTACATTTTCCATGCCTCTTCCAATCTCTATACCTAAAATTGTCACCCTTTCTTTTCTTTCAACTAACCCCAGATCTACTTTGTCCTCTTTCCAGTTAAGGTAAAGTATCTCACTCTTGGACCTGTTAATCTTAGCGCCTGATGCAAGAGAAAACAGTTCACACCACTCTAGAGCTTTTATAATTGAATTGTTTTCTGTGCTTAATATTGTCATGTCATCCATGTACAAGGATACAGTTGCTTCTTTCCCACTGCTACCCGGGACGGGGAGGCCATGAATTAAAGGATCCTGTCTTATCCCGCAAGCTAGTGGTTCCATAGCAAGAATGAATAAAATCACAGATAACGGACAGCCTTGTCTAACCCCTGATAAAACCTTAAAGGGTGCTGTTATGTGACCATTTACGGACACTCTACTTGAACAATCTGTGTACAATAGATCCGTCCAGGCCCTCAAATTTGGCCCAACACCAAAACTGACCAAAACTTCTTTAAGGTACCGATGGTTAATCCTATCAAAGGCTTTTTCTAGATCCAGGCCAGAGATGCACAGTGGCAACTTACGGTCCATAGCATATAAGTAGGAGTCTCTTATTAAAGCCAGGCTGTCGTTCATGGATCGTCCTGGTATTGCACATGTCTGCTCGACTTCTACAATTTCCTCTACCACGTCCTGTAATCGAAAAAATAAAGCCTTTGCTAAAATCTTTCTGTCCACGCCAAGTAGTGTCAGGGGACGCCAGTTTTTTAATTCCTTTTTGTCCCCTTTTTTTAACAACAGGGAGATTGTGCCTTCTCTCAGGGATGGTGGTAATTTACCCGCGAGGAGGCTCTCATTGTACATTTTCAATAGGGGGACCTGCAATTCTGTCCAAAAGGTTATGTAAAATTCTTTTGGCAACCCATCGGCACCGGGGGCCTTGTTTTTCTTCATGCTCTCAATTGCTCTGGTCAATTCATTTACAGTTAATCTACTTTCCAGCATAGCTTCATGGTCATTAATCTTTTTGTTTACTTTTGATAGAAGATTAGCCAAAGCTGCTTCGTCTAGATCTTCACCTTTATAGAGGTCTGAGTAAAAGCTGTGTACACTGGCGAGTATGTTATCTATATCAGTCTGCTCTTTCCCATTTTTATCTTTTATTGCGTCCATAACATTTCGCGGCCGGGCTAGTTTTCGAAAGAAGTATCTTGTACATTTTTCGTTGTTTTCCATATGATGTACTCTGCTACGTGTAAGTAGTCCACGGCTTGCCTTTGTAGTAAGATGTGACATGTCTCTCTTAAGCCTCGCTATCTCTTCTGCTACATCTAAACCTGCATAGGCCATTGTGTAAAGTCGTTGTAGTTTTGCTTGTTGGATTTTGAATTTATAGCGTTTTTTCCTTGCTTCTTTTTTACCTTCCTCAATGAAAAAGCTCTTAGTACGCACTTTAAAATCTTCCCACCAGTCCCCCACAGAGTCAAAAACAATCTCAAGAGAGGACCACATATATATTTTTTCCTTAAATCTCCTTACAATACTGGGATTTTCCAGAAGGGATGTATTCATCTTAAATGAGCCTCTACCTCTTATAACCTTTTCCTTAAAACCAAATAAACAGTCAATTTAGAAATAAGAAATGCCAGATGTCCACACAGTCAGTGGTAAAGGTTGGCCTCACAATGGTCCATGACTACATTCTCAGGGACAGAGTGAAGTGTAAGGAGGCCGAAATTAAAATCATCTGGAAAATTGATGCCATATTTTTAACAAAAGAACTGATGGATGCACTTTAAATGTTTAGTTGTTGGGAAAACTGAAGATTTGATGCACTTTAAATGAATTGTTGTTGGGGAAAAAAGAAAAAAAAAAAAAAAAAAAAGATTAAATATAAAAAATATCTAAAGATATTGAGGCACTTTAACTGTACTGTTGTTGAAAAAGACTAAACATTTTTGATGAATTTTTAAATGAATTGTTGTTGGAAAAAGAAAAATGTATTTTTGAAGTAATAGGATTATAATTGTGTTGTTTTTTTTAAAACAGAAAATATGTACATGCAAGTTTATCTTTGTAATTTATGTGCCTTAAAACAATAAAGCGTCTAAAAATTGAAAAAAATTGGTTCACCCAGGGCGAGGCTCGGCCATTGCACCCCGGCTATGCTGACCGCTGCGAATTCCCCAAATGTGGGAATCTCGACTGCATAATTTGTGGTAGTGGGGGACTGCGTTCGCGCTCTCCCCTGATTATAGTGTTGAAGAAAAGGTCAAAGACAACCTGGCTACGGCTTGCATGTGTGGCGGCTTCTTTGCTCCAGGAAAGACTTTCTGGTGCCAATGTCCTCCCCAGAGCGTGTCCTTGCTTTGGGCTCGAAATATCTCTGTCCCTTGCAGTGAGCCTCACGCTGCGTGCCACGCTCCAGAGCCAAGGCAAGTTCAATTTCTCACCTTTGGCATTGAGTCCAAAAAAGATCCGCTGCTGATGTGCTGCAGTTTCTGCCCTCAATTGAAACCATCTGTTTTGGTTTGGAGATGCGTCTTTGTTTGTTTTTCCACAAGGCAGGAGATGGGTGCACCGTTCCCGGAGGCGCTGCAATACCGGGTCGATGCGTGGAGTGAACGGGGCAAGCCCCTCTTTCAGCTCCCAGTGCTAAAAATCCATTTAATATATAGTCCCCGTATAGGGGACGTATCAGATATTAAACTGATAAGAACAGATACTACACTTGATCTTAGCCAAAAGGCCGAGAAGCGATGACCCTTAACGCTTGCTGCGGGAGACGGACTCGTTGCGCAGTCGCCGCAGGTCTTGGTGCGGCTCTTTTGACCTGGCGTAACCGAGGCGCTGGGTAGCTCGGATGGCCCAGGTGCTAATGACTGCTCTTGTCTTTCACAAACTCAGAATGCTCAGCCAAATGGCCAAGCCTACCAAAAATAGGTTGAACTCGTAGGTGTTCCTCTCCACGGAAGTCTTTAGTAAAAGGCGAAAGACTTATACGCTTTGAAGAGAAACCAGAGTAATTGTGGAGGCTGTCCTCGAGAACAGACACCACCATAGTTGTCCCAGTCCAAGCCCTCGCGGTGACCCTCACTTGGCACTTCCACATCCCAGGCCACACCCTTTCCCCCAGCTGCGCGAGCATGGTTCGTGGCTCTCACCTGTGGCTTCTTTGGCATTGAGTCCAAAAAAGACCCCTGCTGCTGTGCTGCACTTTGTGCTGCACTTTGTGCCCCCGGTTGGAACCTATCTCTTTAGTAATACGCTTGAGTTGTGTGGCATGTTATACGTGCTGACTCCGCGGCATTAGAAAACACTAGTTTGACCCTAAACATCAAATCCATTTAAGGGAGGAACACTAGAATGTCTTTACGGATATAGATCTTATAATGAAATATAGAGGCGTGGTTGCTTGAAAAACAGTCTTTGTTGGCTGAACTTTTCGCCTCAACTGCCGTATGGTGGTTTGGCTTTATAATTCAGCATTGGTGGTTCAGTGGTAGAATTCTCACCTGCCACGTGGGAGACCCGGGTCCGATTCCCGGCCAATGCAATAGACAGTTCTTTGTTGTCTGAAAATAAAGTATAATGCCTACACCACTTGGACTCTGCTACAGCAAACACACAGGTCTTTGGAGTGTACAAGTAAAGAGGGATGTTCTCCGTGCCGACTCCCATTGATTTGAGAACTCGGTGAGATGCTCGACATCAAATCACTGTAAGGGATGACCGGTGGACTGTATCCCTTCTTAAATGACTTAGAGCATATAGCATATCTGTTGAAAAAGGAGGTATCAGACTATTTTAAACAACTTTTCCCCGCCTTTGAAACACTTATTCCTGGCTTTTAGCCTGTCATTTTGCAAGATATGATTTAACATTGAAGCTCTCCTGGAAATGGACATATTATGTCCTTCTCCAAGAGAGCTTAAATGTTAAATGATATCTTGCAAAATGACAGGCTAATAATCTCTTCCAGATGTTTAAAAACTATTTTCCCGACAATTTAAACATTATTTCTGGCTTGTAACGTGCAGTGGTAGTATCAGACTATTTAAAGGGTTACCAGGAGCATGAGAACATCCTCCACAGGAGGGTGGGTGGTGCTGTGAATAAGGCCGAATACGGATGCAGATGGGCGGACGGTAAAGCACCGCAAAATCCACCCCCCTTTAAGATTACCAGGGGCACGAGGTTCTTGAGGGTGTGATCATCTGGGTTTAGTCCGTGGGGGAGTGCTTAAGTCCGGGGGCCCGGGGACCCAAGGTGCGCGAGGTTCTGGAAGTGTGCATGTCAGGGAGAGATGCTGGAGCTGATTAGTCCGTCGTTTGGGGCTCTGTGTAGGGCCACAGAGAGGTGGTTTGCGCGCTGTGTCTCCTGGTAGTGTGAAATAGCCTGTTTGCTCATGTCAGGTAGAGATGCTGGAGCTGCTTAGTCCGTGATTTGGGGGTCTTGGAGTGGCCACAGAGAGGTGGTTTTCGCGCTCTGTCTCCTGGTAGTGTAAAATAGCCTGTTTGCTCATGTGAGGGAGCGAACCTGGAGCTGCTTAGTCCGTCATTTGGGGCTCTGTGAGCCGCCACAGAGAGGTGCATTTCATGGAAGTCTGACATAGCCTGTTTGCTCGTGTAAGGAAAAGGTCTGCCTTATGGACAGAGTTAACATGGGACTTGTCCTTCAAATGTACACATGTCCGCACAATGGAAATGTGATGTCAACTTCCAATGCAAAGTCCCTGCCACCGGCAGGACACATTTGACCAACTGTAAACCAACACTTGGGGGTGCTCTATGCATGTGTCTGAGGGTAAAATAATCATCATTCTGTATATAAATATGTTTGTCAATATCATGGACATTTCCTTTTAAATTGGGGTCCACGAAGCTGACACAAGATACCCGCAGATAAGCACTCATCTCGGACTAAAATCCTCAATGCATAGCAGTTTTAATGGCATGCCCCCATATTTTTTTGTTATTCAGTGTTACCAGGGGCACGAACTTCTGACCGGTGTTCCCTCTCGGTTTAGTCCGTGGGGGAGTGCTTAAATGTGGGTACACAGGTTCGCCTGGTGCACAAGGTTATGGAGGTGGGGGTCTTGCTGGTGCTCAAGTGTCCATATACGTCACCCCATATTCACATCATTTTTACCCGCCTTAAGAGACACTATTTTGGGGTACAATTTATCCATTTTCACCCCATTTTTCTGGTTCTTCCAAAAGTTAACTTAGACTTTTTCTGACCCTGGAGGAATGTAACGGGAGTTGTCAGGGGACTATATCCGCCTTAAGAGACACTATTTTGGGGTACATTTTTATCAATTTTCACCCTTTTATATGGTTCTTCCAAAAGCTAACTTAGACTTTTTCTGACTCTGGAGGAATGTAACGGGAGTTGTCAGGGGACTGTATCCGCCTTAAGAGACACTATTTTGGGGTACATTTTTATCCATTTTCACCCTTTTATATGGTTCTTCCAAAAGTTAACTTAGACTTTTTCTGACTCTGGAGGAATGTAACGGGAGTTGTCAGGGGACTGTATCCGCTTTAAGAGACACTATTTTGGGGTACATTTTTATCCATTTTCACCCTTTTATATGGTTCTTCCAAAAGCTAACTTAGACTTTTTCTGACTCTGGAGGAATGTAACGGGAGTTGTCAGGGGACTGTATCCGCTTTAAGAGACACTATTTTGGGGTACATTTTTATCCATTTTCACCCTTTTATATGGTTCTTCCAAAAGCTAACTTAGACTTTTTCTGACCCATGTACATCACCCTGGATCTCTGCCTGTGAGTGTGGGACCAGTGACTCTGTAAGCAGCAGCCTGTCCTCTGGGTGGGAGAGAGCGAGGTGCTGGAAGGAGCTGTCTGGGTCACAGCCTGCTGCTGCTGCTCTCTCCGCCCCTGTATTCACATAACTTTTACCCAGCTTTCACACACTCATTCCTGGGTAAGAAAGCCATGTGCATCCCCCTGGATCTCTGCGTGCCTTTGAGTGTGGGACCCTGCTTACAGTCCGTCGTTTGGGGCTCTCCCGAGAGTGGAAGTCCATTGCCTCTTAATAGAGGTAAAATTAGGTCTGTCACTTTGGGTAACCGCACCACTGTCAGACGTCTCCCGAGAATGGACGTCCATTCTCTCTAAATAGGGTCAGGGTTTTTGCCAAGGGAGTTTGCGGTTTATGGAAGGACATTCCGGGTTCTTCCAGGTGCTGGGTCAAGGGACCGACCAGAGTGGTCTTCTGTCCACGGAAAAATATCGGAGAAGAGCTCCTAGCTATTTAGATGGTTAACGGTGTTCTTAGGAGAACTCCTTTCTTATGGGGGGAGTGTGACGACCCCTCCACACTACGTGGGGTGCCGTCTATTTGTGTGTGCTTTGTGGGTGTTCACAGGTTCCGGTGGTGATGAGCCGCACCTGTCGGGGATGAGACCTGCCTGATGAGCTACACCTGGGGAAAAGGTTATAGGAGGAGCCCAGCCGGATACGTCTCTCTCACTCCTCTGGGCACTTTCTCTGCGCCAGTTTCGGGGACCTGATGCTGCTGTCTATTTAGTTTGTTGTGTTGTAACAATAAACTATATTATTCTTATCTCTCGTCTCGCCTCCCTGCTCCCTGTCTCGCCTCCCTGCTTTATGTTACAGCCCACGAGCCGGGTTGTAACAAATGACTTAGAGCATATAGCATATCTGTTGAAAAACCCACCTTGTTGACCGTGCTGTTGACCTCGCCAGCGTAGTGGTAGTTACGATGTCTTGTGAATGTGGACAGATGAGTGGTAGAATCTTTGTAAGCCAAGAGGAAAACTAGGTTCCCATTCTCCGCAAATGGAACATACAGTAGCTTCACTGTTGTTTGGTATCTGTACACAATTAGAGAGTAAAGCTATTGGGTGACGATAGGCATTGAGTCCAAAAAAGACCCCTGCTGCTGTGCTGCAGTTTGTGGCCCCGATTGGAACCTATGTCTATTTCAAGCCTTATCTGTCTTTAAGGGTTAAATGTGGTTGATGGGCTGCTTTGGCCGGCTCAGAGGCAGGAACCGCCACGCCGTGTCCTTTGTCGTTGCAAGACTGCCCTGCCTCTGACCCGTCCAACTCATACTTACCTGGCAGGGGAGATACCATGATCACCAAGGTGGTTCACCCAGGGCGAGGCTCGGCCATTGCACCCCGGCTATGCTGACCGCTGCGAATTCCCCAAATGTGGGAATCTCGACTGCATAATTTGTGGTAGTGGGGGACTGCGTT